TTGTTATTATTCAGTTGCTAAGTCTTGTCCAACTCTTTGCGGCCCCATGGACTGCAGCCAGGCTTCTCTGTCCTTCAGTGTCTTCTGGGGTTTGCTCAAACTCATGTCCATTGGGTTGGTGATGCCATCCAGCCATCTCATCCTCTGTCACCCCCTTCTCCTCCTGCCTTCAGTCTTTCTCAGCATCAGGGTCTTTTCCAATGAGTCAGCTCTTCCCATCGAGTGGTAAAAGCATTGGAGCTTTAGCTTCAGCATCAGTCCTTCCAATGAATACTCAGGGTTGATTTCCTTTTGGATTGACTTGTTTGATCTCTTGCTGTTCATGGGACTTTTGAGAGTCTTCTTCATCACCCCAGTTTGAAAGCATCAATTCTTCAGCACTCAACCTTCGTTATGGTCCAACTCTCACATCCATACATGACTACTAGAAAAACCATAGCTTTGACTAGATGGACCTTTGTTGGCAAAGTAATGTCTCCCAGCTTTTTAATATACTGTCTATGTTGGTCATAGCTTTTCCTCCAAGAGCAAGTGTCTTTTAATTTCATGGCTGCAGTCACTATCTGCAGTGATTTTGGAGCCCAAGAAAATAAAATGTGTCAATGTTTCTACTTTTTCCGCATCTATTTGCCATGAAATAATGGGACTGGATGCCAAAAAATGATCTTAGTTTTTCTTTGTGCACGTGCTAAGTCACTTCAGTCGTGTCCGACTCTTTGCGACTGACCCCATGGACTGTAGCCTGCCAGGCTCCTTTGTCTTAATGTTGAGTTTTAAGCCAGTTTTTTCACTCTCCTCTTTCACCTTCATCAAGAGGCTATTTAGTTCCTCTTTGATTTCTGTCATTAGAGTGGTATCATCTGCATATCTGATGAATTTGAGGCAAGTTTAAATTCAGCCAAGGAGGTGATGCCTCCACACCCTAGCCTGATTTCAGACTTCCATTGCAGAGACCTTACAGGAAAGGGGAGAAGGTGTATACTTTCACCAAATTCAGTGCACAGCATGCTGAACTGAAGACAAGAAAGACTTAGGGAGCAGGGTGGAGTTGTAGCTACAGGAGAGTCGAGGTTCTCTGAGCTACAATTTTGACCTGTGATGACCTACTTTTTGAGGGTTTTAATTTTAAAAAAGTAACCTGAAAGGAAATACTCATAAAAGTAGGTATTGATCTATAGAGGGGAAAAACCATCAAGTCAACTGTGCCAGATAATGAAAATTTATTTTTAAATGTTAGACAGTAGAAAAGGCAGTGAATTAGTCACAATTACTATGTAATTTGACTTGAAATCCATTTAAGAGACATGCATTGAGTCTGGGCAAAGCACTATGTGGAGAAGAGAGAAGGGAGCTACAGAGAATCCCCAAGACATGAACTTTGCTTCCAGACCCTTCCACCCCAGTGAGCTTGTGGTTGCCAAAGCCACGGCTTCTTTTTTTTCTTTTTTTTTTAACATGGAAAGAGATGAGACAGTCCTTCATGATTAGGCTTAATTCAGTCAGAGACTTTGCCCTTAAAAACAGGCCTGGTTTTTATGTCATCTGCTTTCTGTATGAAAAACCACATTAGTTTATTCATTAAAAGCTAGAGTTGATTGTCTGGTCCTTGGAAGAGACAGGTTATTTGATTTTTTTTTTTTAACTTAAGACAGAAATGAATGCTGTGTTTGTTTAGGGCCTACTCTGCTGGGTACCACGCTGAACTCTGAGGGGATGGTGCTGGGCAGAGTCCCGAGCCCTGCCCTTGGGGAACCTGCAGTGTGGGACTCACACAACAAAGTGTTCCGGACAGTACTTGATTACAGACCTGAGATGTGCCACAACGGAAAGCTCCAGTAAACAGCCAGAGGAGCTCTCTTGGTCTGGCAGTTCGGGGCTTCTCTGAGGAGATGGTGCTTAAGCCGAGAGCCGGGCAGGATGGCTTTGGATTAGGCAGCCAAGGGGAGAGAACAAGTTTCTGGGCAGAGGCCCAGCGTGTCCAGGGTCTCAGGTCAGGAAGAGCAGGACCTAAAAGGAAGCCAGTGTGCAAAGAGTGGAGGTTGGGGGCAAGCATTGGTTGAGAAACCAAGCATTGCAGAAACTGGGTCCTAGAAGCAGCCTTTCAGGGTTGCTTATGGACTTTGGATTTGACCTTCAAAGGAATAGGGAGCTGTCAAAGGATTTTAGACAGGGGAGATGATTTCACGAGGATTATTTAAAATTCCCTCCAGCTTCTGGATGGTGAGAGGATTGGAGTAGAGGTTGTGGGGAGACCAGTTAGGAGGTGACTTCAGGAGTCCAGGTGAGACCTGGTGGGGAATTGGTAAGGGTAGAGGCGCTGGAGAGGAAGAAAACCACTTTAAGAAGTGTCTGCTTAGGAAGCAGGACAGATAGGACCTGGTAACTCACTGCCTGTGGGTAGCAAGACACAGGGTGGTATCAAGGCAGCCCTCTAGGCTTCTGGTGGGGCAGCTACTAGGTGGGAGCACCATTTACTGTGATTGGATGTGCTGGAAGAAAGCTAAGAGTCTAGGAGACTCTTATGTCCTAAGAAAGAGTCTAACACTGACCAAGAAGTAGGTAAAGGACAGCAAACTTGCAATTCCCCAAAGCATAAGTGCAAATGGCCAAGAAATAGAAAAAAAAATTCAACTGATATTCAAAAGCTGCAGATTAAAATAACTAGGCTGCATTTACCTATCACACTGACAATGGTAAAAGAGTACCCTAATGCCTAATATTGTTGAGAGCACAAGAAACTGCCATGCTGGTATACTGCTGGTAGAAGTTGAAAGTGATATGGGTCTTGGGTGTGCTGGTGAGCGTGGGGTAAACTATGATTTTTTTAATGTTAAAAAAATTCCATAAGTACTTAACAACCACACAAAGATATATGTGCAGAGATATTATTTACACCAGTGAAAAATTGCGAACATCCAAGATGTCCATATGTTGGAAATTAATGACACATCTATGTAATTGTTTAAAAAGTAAATTAAAATTAGTGTGTATAGAGTGATCCATTGTGTAAACTATCTGGGTGTGTATCTATGTGAATAGCTGTGCATGTGGGTACATATACAAAGTGGTTTAGAAGGAAATCTAAAATCATATTGCTAGTGATGGATGAGTTTTTACTGTATTTCGGTAAATAGAGAAACTGATACTTTAAAGGAAGAGAAGAAAATAACTGCAGTGTATTGTAGTTAAAGTGTTGCTAGAAGGAAACCCACGGAAGGGAGTAACTAATTCTGACAGGGGTTGGTGGAAGCAGGCTTCACAAAAGAGGTGTCATTGGACTGAGAGTGAATAATCAGGCCTATGTTTGTTTTCTGGTTTCTACACAGCTTTGTAGCTCGTATTCAAGAGAAATAGGGAACTCCACAGAAAGAAAAAAAAACTGATCCGGTTCTGCAAACCAAATTATTTTAATGACAATTAGAAAAAAGTATGGGCTTCCCTAGTGCCTCAGACAGTTAGAAATCTGCCAGCATTGTGGAAGACCCGGTTCGATCCCTGGGTCAGGAAGATCCCCTGGAGAAGGGAATGGCAACCCACTCCAGTATTCTTGCCTGGAGAATTCCATGCGCAGAGGAACTTGGAGGGCTATAGTCCATGGGGTCGCAAGACGTCAGACATGACTAAGCGACTAACACATTCACACACACACACAGAAAAAAGTATATAAACAGTGCATCAAACCTATGACTGCAAAGGTATTTGTGCAAAGCATGATTGTGATTAAAAATTCCCTTAAATCGTTAACAACTTTTTTTGCAATTATAGAATCCATCCTAATTGAAAGGTGGTCTTCCATTGGGCTATAGAAAAAAGAGGAAGAAGCAAAGAACTCAGAAACATTTAAAAAATTTTATTGGAGTGTAATTGATTTACCATATTGTGTTAGATTCAGGTGTGTAGCAAAGTGGATCTGTTACACATACACAAATAGCCACTCTTTCTTATATTCTTTTCCTGTGTAGGTCTTTAGAGAGTATTGAGTAAAGTTCCCTGTGCCATACAGTAGGTCTGGGGGTATTGTCTATTTTATATATAGTAGTGTGAGATGGGCTTCCCTTGTAGCTCAGTCAGTAAAGAATCTGCCTGAAATGCAGGAGACCCGGGTTCGATCCCTGGGTCAGGAAGATCCTCTGAAGAAGGAAATGGCAACCCACTCCAGTATCCTTGCCTGGAAAATCTCATGGACAGAGGAGCCTGATGGGCTGCAGTCCATGGGGTCACAAAGAGTCGGGCACGACTGAGCGACTAACACTTACTTACTTAGGGTGAGAAGATCTTTTAAAAATCCATTAAACATAGAGTTAAGTAAAATATGTGAATTGATTTGGAAAAATCAGTATGTGGTAGTAGAGGTGAGACACTGATGTGGTAAAAATCAAGAAAGTGGTTCCAACGTGACTGCAGCAGGCCTTGAACAGATGGCCAAACCTCCCTGCGTTACCATTCTATCCCCTGTAATATCTCCCAGAGTGGTTATGAGGAGCATAAGATAATATCCATAGGTATCACTGGCTCACTAGCTGTCACACAGTAGGGACTCAAATATATGAGTTTCTTCCCCTTTTCCTTAGCCTCACCTTTCTAGGTTGAAAGTGATCTCTGAGGGATCACTGATCCAGTGCTTTCAATGCAGGCGGCTCAGGTTCAGTGCCTGGTCTGGGAACTAAGACCCAAACACACTGCAGCGTGGCCGAAAAAGTAAAGCAAAATAACAATGAAAGTGATCTCTGAGAGTGGCCAGACTGGCTCCCTTACTCTCCAGGTGAGGTAGTTGAACCCTGATTGGGGAAAGATTAGCCTGTAACTATTATCACACTTCATTTTTTGACTATCACAATTCAGTTTTGAAATAATTCTCTTCCAGCTCCTAATCATCAGCAACTTTCCCAGTTACATAGGATCATAAATGGTTTGTAACCAATATTGTGTATAAAAACCTGTGATGCCTTTTAGTCCAATGGTCTCAAGGGATTAATTGTGATCATCTTCTTGTTTTGCAGATGGAAAAATTGAGAATCAGAGAGGGCTAGTGATCTCTTGGACACCTGGTCAGTAGGTAAGTGATAATGCTGAAAGTGAGCCTGAAATAAGATCTATGTCAAGTCTCCATGATTCAATCTCTGCAGGCCTGTCTCTCCAATCTTGCGATTTTTATGATTTGTGCAATTCAAGTTAGGAAATAAGATGTGTTGGTCTGAGGCATTTGGGTATTATTTGCACTTGTGGTTTCTATTTGTTCCCACTGTTGAGTTGGAATGTTTAAGTAGCTGTATGAAGGCTTCTTAAGGATCTCCTGGCCCATACTGGGAATGACAGTGATCTTGGGTGGCCTTGGCCTGCAGTTGCTTGAAGCATGGTTTCAGTTCCTGACCAGAGATTGAGGTTGGGCCACGGCATTGAGAGCACTGAATCCTAGCCACTAGACCAGCAGGGACTGTGGCCAGTGACAAGGCTCTGGCCCATCAGCTGGGTAGAAATGAATTTCCACATGGAGATGGAAAGTAGTGAGGCAAGTAAAGTCTATTTGAAGGAACAGGAGGACGGTATATGTGGACAGATACACAGGCAGGCTCAGAGAGAGGGATTTGCTGAGTTGCGCCCTGGTCATGGTTTGAATCACTTTTACGGGGCATGTCTTCCTGGTTTCCTTTGGCATTTTGCTTTGCCTGGCTCTGAGTCTGCATTTGGTATATCTCAGGGTCCTCCAGTATGTGCGTACCCATCTCTTAACCAAGATGGATTCTAGCAAAGAGGCTTATGAGCATTTGACGTCACTTACTCTGAGGTGATACCCCATCTCTTTTGACCTCCAAGGAGCCTTTATGCACATGTGTAGTTGGGAAGGTCTCCTTGATCTCGAGAATGAGGAGTATGTGGTCTTCTATCTCTTATCTGGGCAGGGCCAGGCCTCCTCCATCATCTTCCTTTTATGGAGTTTCTGCTATTAAGGAGTTTTTGTCCACAGAACAGAAGCTGTGCAGCCTGAAGCCCACCCATCTCCTGCCTCAGTTGGGTGGGTTAAAACCTGGCCCCTGCTGTGTGCCTAATGGGACATCATTGCCCCTTCTTCAACACACCCAAGAGTTTGGTTCGTGGAGAACAGAAAGCCTTGCACTAGGGGCGTCAGGAGGTCGGGGTTCCTGTCGCACAGCGAACTGCTCTGTGACCTTGAACAAGCCACTTAACTCAGGGATATATTCTGTTTTTTTTTTTTTTTCAAACTGTTTTTCCCCAGAATGTGTGGTGCTGGCCTCTGTGCCAGGCACTGAGGATAACAAGATAAATACAACACAAGCTTTGCCCGGGAGGCACTCACAGCCCAATTTATGAGCTCCTCCATTTCCTCATTACTGTCTGATCATGAGAATTTCTAACATCTGCTTTGGAGTTTACAATCTCTAGGGCATTTTGTGATCTTCCCCGAAACACCATAAGATGGAAAGAAGTTGTTATTGCCATTTTGCTAAGGAGAAAACTACAGCTCCGAGGGTTGGCTGAGGCCATACAGTGAGTGAGGCTTAGAGCTGCCCTTGAATCTAGATATATTAGCTCCCAAGCATTTGCTTTCAGTTAACAGTAAACTGCCCCACCAATGGTTTTCACGTTTGAACGGGTATTTTTGTATAGCCTGCCCCTCAGCAGGGGCTGAAATGTTGGGGAGATCAGCAACCAGAGGGAACCTGTGCTGGAGGAGAGATACTTCAATGCAAGGGGTACTTCCCTGCATCTAACTGGATATTCCTGAAAGCAGTGTCTTCTCTGATTGAGAGTGAGTCAGCCTTGGGCCCTGGGTCTGCTGATAATCAGAGGAAGATATGCTGCAGTGCCAGGGTCGCCTCCTTCAGGAGACTGCGATTCAGCGTATCAGAGAGAGCCCGCCATGGGCCGGAGGGGCACAGCACCCCCTCTTCTGCGGGACCGTACTGAGTACTGTTGCCTCCCACCAAAGCTTAATGATCCTGGGAGCTTCTGCTTTTGCAGAGTTGCCTGGCCTCGGGCAGTACGTGGAGATTTGATAGGGATTAGAGGCTGCGCTGTTTGTTTGCGGGCATGGCAGCTTCTGGAGCTGGAAGCTCTTGGACCCCCCTCACAGTCTGGAATTTCAAAGAGTGCGGGAATCACCTCGGAGACCGGGCCTGCCTTTTCCGTTTTACAATGTGTGTGTACACTGTGAGTTGTGGCCACCTTTGATGAAGACCTACTGGCGTGTGTGTGATGTCTGGGAGATGCAGGATTTGTGGCACATGTGTGCGTGCCTGTGTGGGGAGTGAGGTTCGTAAGGAACATGTGCGCACGTGTGTGTGTGTGTGCATGTGTGATGTGTTTAATCCCTAGGAAGCAATTCTCATATGAAAAAAGAAAACACGGGTGTAATTTTTCAACAGGACTCAGAAATGGGCTTTTAATAAGCATCATTAAACTCTTTGATTACAAGGGGAGGCCAGCCGTTCTTTCATCCTGGCTTGGATCACACAGCTCTCCCTTGCTCTGTTCTTAGGGGTCAGATGAAAACTCCTACTATTCATACTGGTCTCTCCAAAGCCCCCCCTCCCCTCTCTTGCCCTCCCTGGCCCCTGCCCCTGCCTGGTGCTTTCTGATCTCTCCGCTTGGACCTCGACACAGACAGGGCTGGTGTCAGGACTGACAGATGATAGCCGCGGGTACGCCTGGAATCTGAGCGTCCCGTGTCTCGCCCTGTCCCAGCAGGCAACTTTAGAGTCTTTGTTTAGGAGGTGCTGAGGCCAGAGATCCGGGGCCCCTTCCTTCCCCCTTCACTACAGCCACCGCCACCCAGCAGGACTGTGAGTGCGGACAGACCCTTTCCTGCATGGATTGGGTTTCCCCTTGTCTGCCACGGGAGGATGAGAAGCAGTGCTGAAAGACAGGTTTCTCTCTGAACTGAAAGCACTCCGCCAGGTCTCCGAAGGAAGCTGGTTCCCAGAGCGATTATCTTTCCTGAACTGAGAGCAAGGTGCTCCATTGACAGGAAGCCCGGTAGGCTTAGCAACAGGCTTATCAGGCTGTGCTGCAGGAATGTTCATTCGTGTCAACAGGTCTGGGTTTGTGCAATCCTGTTTTCCTCTGTGCACAGGCTCTGTTCTGGGACTGGTGTGTTCTGATTTGCCCTGGTCCTTCTCAGAGGCCGTGCCCCCCACAGGGTGTGGAGTTCTGCCTCAGTTCTCTTTGTTCACCCCCCCACCGCAGGACCCAGCCTGGGGTTCCCTGGCCTGGGGCTGAGTGTGCAGTGTTTGTGGTCTACATAGAAGCCACTGGCTCCAGGCAGCAGACTGGTCCTGGGTGCGGTATTCCTGCCTCAGTTAATATCGGGCCCTCATCAGAGTTCTCTTACTGCACTAACTGTTCAGTTTCTCTATGCCTTGGTTGGTCTTGGAGGGTCTGCCCTGTCTGAATTGGTCTGTCAAGTTCTTATAGGGCCTTGGGCTTCCCTGGCGGCTCAGATGGTACAGAATCTGCCTGCAGTGTAGGTAGACCTGGGTTCAGTCCCTGGGTGGGGAAGATCCCCTGGAATAGGGAATGACTACCCACTCTAGCATTCTTGCCTGAAAAATCCCATGGGCACAGGAACCTGATGGGCTGCAGTCCATGGGGTGACAGAATCGGACGTGACTAAGCAAACCACACCCCACACACACACTGAGTTCTTACCAGCAGCTTCTTTGCAGTGGCCTACCTCTGGTCCCTAAGGCCTCGGTCATCGGCTCAAAACTGGTTTCAAACCAGACAGACCACTGAACATTAAAGTCCTGCTACACCTCCCGGGTGGGTGTGCTGCCGTGACCTTGAGGCTGACGCAGCCAGCCTTCCAGGCTGTGGCCACAGCCATCCACTGTCAGTTCTCCAAATACCCTCAGTCATTGCTTTAAGGGACATCCGTGTTATTAAGAATCTGCTATGTGCAAAGCTCTGTGATGACATATTAGATATGTTTTTCTAATTTTGTACCCATTTTCCAGATGGGATAACTAAGTTTCAAAGACATTAACATACCTGTAATGCATAAGTACTCAGTGATAATGCTAGAACTTGAACCCAGGTGTTTGGATTAGAAAACAGAAAGTCTCCATTTCTGTAAAGCATATAGCATACAGTGGCTAGCAGAAAATGGCTGTCACCTACTAGTGATAGTTCTTTTAAAAGTAATTTTTTTGATAAAGCATTCACTGCATTGCACCCTAATTGATGGTTCTTCTGTGGTCCTCTCCCACTGGACTGCAAGTTTCTTGAGAAGAGTAACTGGGGCCCCAGAGTCTAACAAAGTTCAGGATTTAGAGCAACTGATCAATAAATGTTTGAATGATTAACAATAGTCAGAATATCTCCTTCTGCTGGTTGGTGGCTATGTGCCAGGCAAAGTGCCAAGTGTTCTGTATGTATATTATTTTGTTTAATTCTTAAAACAACCCTGTGAGATAGACCCTATTATTATAATATTCATAATAAAGAAAGTAGAGGCTTGAAGAGCTTTGGGTAACCTTTCTAGGTCACACAGTTGCTAAGTGGCAGAGCTAGGAACAGGACCCTGGCCGACTGCCACCTGTGATGTCCAGATGCTCTGGCCTTCCCCGGATGTCCCAGCATCCCTCACAGCCGTAGCCGATGCCCCAGGCTCCTCCACTGGCTTCCCGTGAAGCTGTCACTCAAATCCAGCGCCTGTTCATCCAAATCTGTGTGAACTCTCCATCCAGAAGGGGCAAAGCTGGTGAAGGCTGGGGAGGGGGCCACAGTCACATGCGAAAGACAGTGTGAAAAGCACTAATAAAACAGACAAGAAAAGGGTTTCCTTCCTGGAGAGTAGACCATCTGATTTATAAGACACAAGTAGGGGCGAAGTCAACATCAAAAGGTACAAGCTTCTGAGAACAGCAGTGAAGTGTTTCAGCAGCATTTTCTGGGGGCATCTCTTAGGCTCAGCAAGGAGGCTGCTGCAGACTCATGGCAGGGGGTGAGGTCAGGCGAGGGGAAAGGCCTCGGTGCCTTGATCTCCGGGGAGGGCCTTCCCTTCTGAGACCTTCCCACAAGACCTCATGAACCGAT